ATGGGGTGCGGGTGTGGTGGAGGGGTGTGGCCATGAGGTGTGGGTGTGGAGAGGGGTGTGGCCATGAGGTGTGGGTGTGGAGAGGGGTGTGGCCATGAGGTGTGGGTGTGGAGAGGGGTGTGGTCATGAGGTGTGGGTGTGGAGAGGGGTGTGACCATGGGGTGTGGGTGTGATGGAGGGGTGTGGCCATGGGGTGTGGGTGTGGAGAGGGGTGTGGCCATGAGGTGTGGAGGAGGGAGGGGTGTGGCCATGAGGTGAGAGTGTGGAGGGAGGGGTGTGGCCATGCATAACTGCACACACAAGAGTGTTTCTCTGAGGATGGTGTTCAGAGCATTCATCAGATCCTCCTCAGTGGCAGCCATGACATCAAAAGAGAATTAACTTGATAAAAACCTGGGCTACACAGGGACATGTATTTCTCAAACTCAGCCACTGTACACCTGAGCTGTGTGTATTTCACTGTACGTAAATTTTACCTCAAAAATTTAAAAACTAATAATTTCAAATTGTACTTGATGATCGCATTCTGAAGTACTTAGTGGGCAGCCCTGGTGGCATAGTGCCTAAGGCATTTGACTGCTAACCAGAAGGCTGGCATTCAACCCCCCAGCCACATCTTGGAAGGAGGATGGAGCAATCTACTTCCATAGAGATACTGCCTCGGAAACCCAAGCAGGGGTCACTATGAGTCAGAATCGACTTGACGGCAGCGAGTTTGGTTTTTGGAGAGTGGTGCACAAGGAGTTCTGGTGGCATGGTGGTTAAGGCATCCAGCTGCTAACCAAAAGGTCAGTGTTCGAATCCACCAGCCACTCTGTGGGAGAAAGATGAGGCAATCTGCTTCTGTAAAGACTTACAGCCTTGGACACCCTATGGGGCAGTTCTACTCTGCCCTAAAGGCTCACTATGAGGTTAGAATTGACTTTACCGTGATGGGTTTGGTTTGCTTTGGTGGTGCAGAGCTTAAAGCATTCAGCTGCTAACCAAAAGGTCAGCAGTTCAAACCCACCAGCCACTCCACAGTAGAAAGATAAAGCAGTCCCAGCAAAGAGACCTTGTCTTGCCCCGTACTGTACTCCAAGGGTGTAGAACATGCTGGACAAACAGAAGCGCAAGACAACGTTGAGTGAATAGATTAATAAATGACTGAACCGTGAGTGAAACTATCTAGAGGAGCTTCTGTCTCAGCACACGGGCAAGGGAACCTACACTCAACAGCTGAGAGTTCCTCACTCTCCCCTGTTGTGTCAGGACCCATCAATTGTGGCCCCGATAAGAACAGCTGGTACTGATAGCTGGGCACCATCTAGTTCTTCTGGTCTCAGGGCAGATGAGGCCATGATACCTCACTTCATCCAGACCTTGAGGCATGTGCAGTGTTAGAACTTCCCACCTTCCAGCCTTGACACTCTGCCATTTGCTCTGAATGTCCCATGCACTTTGGAAACCCCAACTCTCCAGAGGACCTGGGCTCCTGGTACTTTTGACAGATCCAGAGCTTTCCTGATCTTTCTTGGCTACTGAAATCCAAGCTTTCTGTCTGTCCTCAGGGTTCTCGTAGTTTAAAATCTTCTCATTTCTCCTTCTCTTAACAACTCACCAGTGCTTTCCCATACCCTTATGACAGATCACGTCTAACACGGTGGTCTTGTTCTCTTTCTTTCAATCCTTCATCCTCTCCAGGCCACCACCCACCACAGGACATTTGCATATCCTGTTCCTTCTGCCTGAAGTGCCTCTGTCGACTTGAGGGGTCTACATGGGTGACTCAAATGGGTAAGTGCTTGACTGTGACCTGAAAATTGGTGGTTCAAAGCCACCGAGAGACTCCTTAGAAAACAGGCCTGGTGCGCTACTTCTGTAAAGGCCTTAGAAACCCCATGGAGCACACGTGCAGTCACCATGAGTTGGAACTGACTTGATGACAACCAACAACAACAACAACTCCTTTTGAGCAGTGGCACTACCACACTGCTTGCCACATTGCACTATGGGCAGAGACTAGATCTCGTCCATCATTGGATCCAGCCTGATGCTTGGGACCTTTCCCAAATAAATGGATGAACACCTGCATGCCATCCCACCTTCCTATGACCTGCCTCCTTTCTCACACTGTAAACCCCTCATCACTCTAAATTACCCCCACCTCCCAGTTCACGCTTAAGGTGTGGTTTGTGTCTGGGACCGCCCTCTGCTCTTCTGGTCTTGCCTTGCAGTGTTGGCTTCAGAAGGAGGACACGGAATGGACGACCCACCTGAAGGCCCTCAGAGGTTTTCATAAATGCTTTCCTCTTTGTTGGAGTCACTGTGACAGCCAATACCTTTCCTGCTTCACAACAGTTCTGTGAACCTTCAGTATCAGTTTCTTTCACATTTAAACCTCTTTTGGAATCTAGTGTAGAGTTAAGATGGGGCCCTCACCTTTTCCCAAGGGACTGTCAAGGATTTAGTTCTCTTTGGTGCTCTTTTTCTTTTGATATGTGGATGTCAGTCTTGGAGAAGACAGAAATATCATAACACTTGGAGTACGTAAGTCTATCTGGGAGATAGTTCCTTCTAAGAAAGTTCTGTAAAGTATAATACAGTGGTAAGAATGACTGACACATTAAAGGAAAAATAACTCCAACAAGCGTTTGCTACTGTTTTATTATTATTACTCACGGTGTGAGTTTGAGGACTTCAGGTTAAGTGACTTAACTTCTAAGAGAGTCAGTCTCTTCATTATAAGATGAGGGCAGGATTAGATATTTATAAAGTTGGAGCGCAGACTGAAAGAAATGACACGTAGGATTTTGAACACCATACACTAATGACTTCCATAAATGCCTGCCCCCAGAAACGTTACCGAACTGAACTGGTGCAGTTCCTAAAAATGCCACTAGGAGGCAGAAAAGTATCATTTTTGCTCTTCAAGCACTAACTAATAAAATCAAACCCACTGCCATGGAGTAGATTCTGACTCACAGTGACCCCCTCAGGGTTTCCAAGGCTGTAAATCTTTACGGAAGCAGACTGCCTAGTCTTTCTCCCACAGAGTGGCTGGTGGTTCAAACTGCTGGCCTTTGGTTTAGCAGCCCAATACCTTAACCACAGCACCACCAGATCTCCTCTTCCAGAGCTAGACTCTTAGGTAGTGTGGTTGTGCAGTGGTTAAAGCGCTCAGATGCCAACCAAAAGGTTGGCAGTTCAAACCCACTACTTGCTCCATGGGAGGAAGACATGGCATTCTACTTCCGTGGAGATGTACAGCCTTGGAAACCCGACGGGGCAGTTCTACACCGTTCTATAGCGTCGCTATGAGTTTGAATCAACTCCGCTGCTGGGGGTTTGTTTGTTTGTTAAGACATTAGGGGAGGAGGGTGGATTTGGGAACCTGCCACGACTGAAGGCTTCTCCCTGGTCCCCCAGCACCTCAGTTGGAGAGAGGCAGCCTCCATCCTTGCTCTGGAGGAGAAAACAACTCAATGGGATGTACGTTTCCTCAAAGCTCACTGGGCCTCACGAACCCTGCTTTAAACAGAGATTAAATTTTACAGGAATATATTGTAAACTTTCTTATGGTGCAGGTAAAGACCCTCACAGCACTTTAGAGCTGCTGGACCATCCCAGAAAACGACCGTTTTTAGAAAATCAATCCCCTCCAAAATCAATCCCCTAAACTATTGATTCATCAACTGCTCTTTCCATGAATTGTAATCAAGTTGATGGCAGTTTGTGTCCTAAGCCTCTGAGAGAATTCCCTTCAAGTTCTGGCTTTGCCGTGGCTTTATGGCTAAGTCAGTTTGAAGCCTGGATGTGCCTAACCCAAGCCACGGTATTTTTAATCACCTCACAGGCTGGTGAGAGCTGGACAATGAATAAGGAAGACTGAAGAAGAGCTGATGCTGTTGGATCGTGGCGTTGGTGAAGAATGCTGAGAGTACCGTGGCCTGCCAGAAGAATGAACAGATCTGTCCTGGAAGAAGTGCAGCCAGAATGCTCCTCGGAAACAAGAATGACCAGACTTCGTCTCACCTACTGTGGTCGGTTGTCAGAAGGGACCATTCCCTGGAGGATATGATATCGTGCTTGGTAAAGTGGAGGGTCAGGGAAAAAGGGGAGGGCCCTCATCGAGATGGACTGACACGCTGGCTGCTGTGATGGGCTCAGGTATAGCCAGGACTGGGCAGGGTCTCGTTCTGTCATACACAGGGTCACTGTGAGTAGGAGCCGGCTCGATGGCACCAGCACTGTTGAATTCCAATTTTGCTTGAGCATCACATGGCCAGAGCCAAGTGGTCTTGAGCGTTAAAGTGGGCAGGACATCAGCCACTCTCCCCACCTGCTCCCACTGCCCCTGTTTAGCAGCTGTATTGACCCTCCTTCTTATTGGAATGAAATATTTCAGACATGCACAGAGTGTAGTAAACAATGTAAGAGAGACCAGTGTAGTCACCATTCAGTTAAAGAATGTTTCAAATACGAGTGAAAGTCAGGGGCGGGGCTGGATTGCATCCCACATACGCCCTCCTCTCCAAGAAGGAACACCATGCCGCTTTGACCTTGATGATTAAGACTCTACTTTCCCCACTCCCCCACCCCCATAGAAAACATCTGGGGAAGAACCAAGCATCCCCTCCCTTAATAAAGGAAATGGAAGGACAGATTCTGGAGACACTGAGAGAAAGAATGAGAGGAGGAGGAGAGGGGAAGGAGTGGGACAGTGGGGGCCCCCGTGCAAGCAGGAGCACCAGGGACCCCAGCGCCCCCTCTCTGAACTGAGGTCAGCCCTTGTGCTGAGAAGTAGCTGTGAGGGGTGCAGTTTCTGAGGCCACTCACTGTGCAAATGGGGGACGGGAGGTATGAAGGCAGTGTCCTCCTATCCCTCCTGCCCCCTGTGGCTGCCCTCTCTGGGCAGTGGGCAGGCAGGCCCCCCATTCCCCACAGCAGCCCTTCTTCAAACAGCAGTCCGACTGGGTCAGGAACCCGTGCGGCTGGCACAGGAGCCCCAGGCCACCTACCAACGACAATGAGGACGTCCCTGTCGATGTTGGCCTGGATGTAGATGCGTCCGCGGCGCTCCGTGTGGTCCGTGCCACAGAGGCTGGGGACGTTCATGACACAGCGCTTGTGCACATTCATCATGCAGGCTGTATGGAGAGAGAGGCAAGGGTCAGGCGGGGCCGTGTGTGGTGGCATCTGCCCACATCCAGCAGCCAGCTGGGCCCCTCCTGCTCCCCCAGGCGAGGGGGCTGAGACCTACAAGCCTGGCCAAGACCAACTTGGAGGACAAGGGCTTCTCCAGCTCTCACCCCCAGACCCTGATGGACCGTGGAGATGGAATCCATCCTTCCTGGAGGCTAAGGGTGTAGCCGGAAGCAGCCATCCACCCCCAGTCCTCAGCAGCCGGAGTCCCCCACTTCAGGGTCCACAGGAAGAGAGGGCACCGGCTGAGGAGCGGCAGCCCACCCAGCGCCAGCAATGCAGGAACGTGTGCCAGGGTGTCCATTTTCCAAGACGTCTTCCAAGGTAAGCCAGAATCCAGACTTTGTGTTGACCTCTCCTTACTTTTAAATATTCACACCTAATAATCTTAGATTGAGTTCCCTGGAAATAGGTGGGGAGTTGGAAGCAGGTTTGTGGGTGAGCTCTTGGGAGCTACGTTTGAAGGCAGTGAGGGAAGCAGGTTTTGGCAGAGGGAGACACTGGGCTCACGTATGGGTGCAACTGAAAAAAACAAAAAACAAACTCACGGCCGCAGAGCCAGTTGCGACTCACAGCAAGCCCTCCTTAGGTTTCCGGGGCAGTATCCCTACAGAAGTGGACTGCCCAGTCTTCCTTCCGAGGAGTGGCTGGTGGGATTGAACCACCGGCCTTCTGGTTAGCGGTCAGATGCCTTAGGCACTATGCCACCAGAGCTCCCAGAAGCGACTGCGGTGAACTGGAATTAAGGCTCTGGGGTGAGGATGACCCTCCAGAGTTGCCCCAATAGAGTCAGCAGCCTAGGTCTCTGCTCCATGCATCAGCCAATCACCGACCATGAACCATCCCTGGGTGGGACCTGATCTTGGATGAGGCAGTTCTCTGTGGTCAAGGGCAATTTCCAATGAGGGGTGCAGCTGGGACACCGAGTGTGAGGGATCTGGGTGGTGGCCCATAGTATCCATCACTAATGATTGCAACAACAAAAAAAGTTAAACCAGGGAAGGCCAAATAAAATAAATCTGTAAACTGAATCTACCCCTGGTCTACCAGTTTGAGACCTTTAGGTTGGAGTCTCCAGTTTTGTATGGAAATTCTACAATTACGTAGCACACTCCTCCTCCATGTGTGTCTGTTCAATGTGCTGGTTCATCTCCCCAGGGCTTCTGGAACGGCACCTGCTCTAGGAGGACAGGCACCATAGGGGCCCCTGGCTCCAGTCTGAGAATGGGAAGACGCTGACTCATCCCCTGGGGCCTGCCTTTCCGGTGATTTCTCAGGACTTGGAGGCTTGGCTTCCCTGGAACAGAGGTGGTGAGGGCCTTCTTCCCAGCCACCCCAAGCTCCAGGAGGCAGCAGAGGACAAGTTTCCACTTTGGGGAAATTAAAAAAAACTAATTAAAAATGCATTATGTGAAGAGGCTGGTGGGAGTAGAAGGGAGAGGCCCCAAGGCCCTGAGGAGCCATCTCGGCGCTGCATGAGCCCGACTCCCACCCACCAGTCCCCACCTTTGGGCTTCCTGGGGGGCAGGAGGTGTCCACATCCTGCAGGAGCAGCGTCAGCACATCTCCTCTCTCTGCCTGTGTCCCAGGAGTCTAGCGGGGTCTCCCATCCACCACATGTGTCTCTGTGGCTCTCACCCTCTTTCGGCATCAGTCTCTCTGCCCCTACATTGGTGTGTCTGTCCCCTTGGCACCGCACCTCTGCTCCGTGTGTGCCTCGCGGCCTCTGGCTGCAGCTGTGACCACATCTGCTTCACCCTCCCTACTCATGGTGTTTGTGTCACTCTGTCTCTCTCCATCTGTCTGTCTTTCTATGTGTCTTGTCCTGTCTCTGGACCTCTCTGTCTTGGCCTCTGTCTCTCTCTCTCTGATTCAGTCTTGGTCTCTCTTTGTGTGCGTTTCAGCCTCTTTCTCTGGCCCCCTCCACCTCTGTATCCCTGCATGAGCCTGTGTGTAGACAGCCTTCTTATGTCACTTCCAGTCACACTGTCTGTTGGTCCGAGTCTCTCTCTCTAGCTGAGCCCCTCAGTAGCTGTTCCTCTTCATCGCTCCTTGTGCCTAGATGTATGTGTCTGTATGTCCCCCGGTACCTGTCTGAGTGTGTCACTCTGTCCAGGCTTCAGAATGTGTTTCTCTCTCCATTTATCTCTCTTGCTCTCTTCCAGCTCGGTCCATACTCACTCTTCTCAGTCACTCTCTGCCTCTGTGGGTTTCTCCCTCTGTTCTCTGAGCCCGCTGCAGGCCAACAGGTCTCTGGAGTTACCAGCACATAGAGTTGCCCTGTCCCTTTGCAGCTACTCACTCCTCTGCCCCATGGGCCACTCAGTCCTTTGCTTAATGATCAGGAGTCTTTCCACCCCCCCCCCACCTCTGCCACTTGCCTTTTCCCACCTAGCCAAGTCTAGAGAATCACTCTCCCCTCTTCCAGCTCAGACAATGGAGAGAGCCAGGCCTTCACCATGCAAACAATGCATCAGTCCTGCATACCAGTGTTTAACACAACAGTGGTGTGGGTCAGAGGAAGGGCACCCAATTGTTCCTTCTCCCTGCATTCACACCATGGCCATCTCCTCCCACATGGCTGTGTCCCTTTCCTTATGACTTGCTTTGATCACTGGAGCAGGATGAAATGTGACACAAGCAAACACTTGAAAAGTGCTTGTCATGGGCTGTGCCCTCTTGAAGCACTTGGGACCCTGATCCATCCACGAGGGCCTGTTGAGGATGAAGGGCAGGTGGCCCAGTCATCCCTATCACCCTGATGACAGGCAGCCATCCTTCAGACACAAGGAGGAGGCCAGCCAGACCCAGTCAACGTACTAACTCACCATCTATGCACGAGCAAGCCCAGCCTATGACAGCTGAGCCCAGCCCAAGGGCTGCCGTGTAGAATCATGAGCGAAATAAATGATGATGGTTTTAGGCCACTACGCTTAGGAATAGCGAAGGGTTGCTCTGCACCTATGGATATCTGGTATACCAGCCCACCCAGCACTGGGAATTTGTGCAGACATGTACCCTACCCCATGAGGAAGTAGCCTGACATCAAATGTACTTACTGTCACATTTCATCCCCTGGTGGATGAGCCCATATAGCAGGGACCCACAGTGGTCACAAAACGTGGGGCTGGAGTAGGTGTGGATTTTAAACTTGTGTTTGCTCCGGGGGTCCTATGGTCAAGAGAAACAAACAGAAGAGAGTGGTGTCAGTGTTGCACGCCATGGTTCACACTGTGTTGAGTATCACTGAAGAGCTCACCAAAAACCAAAGTTGGCCCCCAGCATTCATTATACTATCATTGGAGGAGTCCTGTACCCAGACATGGTGCTTGATAAATAGTCGTTGAATGAAGGAATGGTCAAGAAAGCTGACTGTTCCCATTCTGACTCTGGCATACACTCACATAATCACGTCGCCACACCAAACTGCAAGGGACTCTGGGAAAGGTAGTTCTAGTTGATGGCTATGCTCTCTGCTAAAACTCAAGGGTTCTCTTATTAAAGGGAAGAATGGACACTATAGACAAGCAGCAGTCTATGCCACAGTTTGCTTCCACTTGGAACTACCTGAGAACCCAACCTACCTGCTCCCGCAAGGATTCCAAAAACAGCAAAACAAAGTGATGGGCAAATCTATCTATCTCACACCATATACAAGACCAAACTCAAGTTGGATCAAAGACCTGAACGTAAAAACCTAAAACCATAAAGACCATCAAAGAAAACATAAGAACAAACTTGGGGGCCCTACTCCAGGACATAAACACACAATCAAACGTGACTAAAAATGCAAAAACACTAGAAGAGAATACAGATGACAGGAGCTCTGGTAGCATGGTGCCTAAGGCACTTGACTGCTAACCAGAAGGCTGGCGGTTCAAACCCACCAGCCATTCCTCAGAAGGAAGATGGGACAATCTACTTCCATAGTGATACTGCCTTGGAAACCCAAGGAGGGGTTGCTATGAGTCGGGCCGACTTGACGGCACATAACAACAACAACAGGACCTCCTGAAAATCAGACACGCACATTGAAAGATTTCACCAAAAGAGTAAACAGAGAACCCACACACTGGGGAAAACAATTCTGCAGTGACTATCAGACAAGAGACTAATCTTTAAAGGTTATACAAAACTTCAAAAACTTAACAACAAAAAGACAAATAACCCAATTTAATGGGCGGAGACATGAACAGACACTTCACCCAAGAAGGCAGCAGACATGCAGGCAGCCAGCAAACTAATGAAGATATTCTCAAGATCATTAGCCATTGGAAAGATGCAAATCAAAACAAGAATGGGATACCGTCTCTCCCCAACACTAATAGCAAAGTTCAAGATAACAGAAAACAGCAAATGATGGCAAGGGTGTAAAGAGACTGGAACCCTCACACACTGCTGGTTGTTGTTGCCGTTGTTTGTGCCATCAAGTGGGACCTGACTCATAGTGACCCTTCCTTGGGTTTCTGAGGTGGTATCTCTGTGGAAGTAGATTGCCCAACCTTCCTTCCAGAGAGTGGCTGGTGGGTTTGAACAGCCAGCCTTCTGGTTAGCAGTCAAATGCCTCAGGCACTACACTACCAGAGCACCCTATGCTGCTGGTAGGGTTATAAAATGATGCAACCACTGTGGAAAACAGAAAGGTGCTTCCTTAAAAAGCGTGAAATAAGGTGGTTTAAACTAGTAAACATCAAACCAAAATTATAACCACACTTTTATCTTCTAAAATCAAGTTTTTACTTTTTCATTATTAAAAAAAAAAAAGGCTGGAAATAACCAGAACTAGATGGTGCTCGGCTCTTACTACTGACCGCTCTAAAAGAAATCACAATTACGAAGTCCCAGACAGAGAAGGGGACATTGTGGAACAAAACACAAAATCATAAAAAAGACCAGGCACACTGGTCTGATAAGGATGGGTGGGACCCTCGATACTATGGCCCTTAGGCATCCTTCAAGCCTAGGACTGACCCTGCCCCCCATCACTCAATGGCAGTCAAACGAAAGAAGGACCTGTAAGGTGAACAGTACCATCAGGAGGGCATGCACTCATTACAACAATCACACACATAAGATCAAGAGGACAACATTTGCCCAGACATAGAGCTAGGAAAGTGAGGATGGATGGGAAGGTAATACGAACGGAGGGGGTGGGCGTAGGATACAAGTGGGAATAATGCTGTTACAGTGTGGCGAGTGCAATAAATGTCCCAAAACAGAACGTGCATGGGTTGCTGACTGGAAAATCAATTTGCTCTGTAAACTTTCACCCAAATCACAATAATAGTAATAAAGATGGAATAGCAATACCATATGATCCAGCAATTCCACTATTAGCCATATATCCTAGAGAAATAAGAGCTGTGACACAAATATACATGCACACCCATGTTCATCACAGTACTGGTCACAACAGCAAAAAGATGGAAACAACCTACATGACTATCAATGGAGAAATGGGTCAACAAACTATGGTACGCACACACAGTGGAATGTTGTAAAACATTAAAGATTAATGTTGAATCTGTGGAACAACTCATAACTTGGAAGAACCTAGAGGTCATTATGCTGAGTGAAGTTAGTCAATCACAAAAGGACAAATATTGTATGAAACCATTGCATGTATTGTAAAAAGTCAAGAAAAGGATTTCACAAAAAAAGAAATATTCTATGATGGTTATGAGGGGAGCAGGGTAAGGGAAAGTAAACCACTAACTAGAGGGTAGACACATGCTAACTTAGGTGAAGGAAGAAATAAAAAGTGATGATCAAATCTATTAAACAGGCCCCCTGCTCCTATTTCTCTGACCTAGCTTCCACAGTAATCTAAAATTCAAATCTGGGCATGATATCCCTTTTTAGAGGTACCTGCTAGTCCTCATCACCTATCGAACAGA